CGCAACTTTCGCCTGTCTCTTATCCCTACAGTGGACTTGAAAGATTTTTTTTTCACAATTCCTATTCACAAGGCTAGCCAGCCGTTGTTTGCTTTTGAGTGGGAAAATCCAAATACTGGGCAAAAAGCACAGTATACCTGGACCAGGCTGCCACAGGGCTTTAAAAATTCACCTACCCTGTTTGGAACAGCCTTAGCAGAAGATTTACAGCATTTTGTGTCCCGACAGAGGGGTGACACGCTTCTGCAATATGTAGACGATGTGCTGGTGACAGGCAGAACTGAAGAGACATTCTGGGAGAACACAGAATCTCTTCTACACTTACTGTTGAAGTGCGGCTATAGGGTCTCCAAAAAGAAGGCACAATTAGTCAGACGGAAGGTGAAGTATTTAGGATATGAGATTGCGGAAGGGCTTTAGGCTGGGAGAGGAAACAAGCTGTGCTAGCTATTGCTGAACCCCTTAATAGGCGGCAACTGAGGGGCTTTTTGGGTCTGGCAGGGTTTTGCAGAATATGGATACCAAATTTTGCTCTGTTAGCAGCACCTCTTTATTCAGCTACAAAAGGAGGTGATAAAGACCCTTTTGAATGGGAGGGAGAACAAAAGAATGCCTTTAGGGAAGTGAAACAAGCCCTCACATCAGCTCCAGCTTTAGCCTTGCCTAACTTAGAAAACCTTTCAATTTGTATGTTGATACCAGGAAGAATGTTGCCTTGGGGGTGTTAACTCAACAATTAGGACAGTGGCAACACCCGGTGGCTTACTTATCTAAGCAATTAGATGGGGTTGCCCAAGGCTGGCCACATTGTCTGAAGGTTCTTGCTGCTATAGCAGTCCTTTTACAGGATTGTAATAAATTGACCTTCTCATGTCCCATAAGTGTCCACCCCCCTCATGCAGTTCATTCTATCTTGGATAATAAAGGGCATTTGTGGATCAGCAGTCAAAGGCTTTTTAAGTATCAGGCGATGATGATTGAAAATCCTCAAGTGAAATTAGTGGTGTCTAACCGGCTAAACCCTGCCACCCCATTGCCCACAGAAGTGGATTCAGAACACAACTGTTTGCAAGTTTTGGAAACTGTATATTCAAGCCGTCCGGATTTGTCTGATATTCCTCTTCAGGATGCTGCCCTGAATTGGTATACAGACGGCTCGAGTTACATGCAGGATGGGAGGAGGGTTTCTGGATATGCGATTGTGAATGATGAGGAAGTGGTGGAAAATAGTCCGCTAGGAGCAAGCTGCAGTGCTCAAGTAGCAGAATTATGGGCATTAATTAGGGCATTGGAAAGAGCTGAAGGGGAAACTTTAAATGTCTGGACAGATAGTAAATATGCTTTTTTGACTCTGCATGCTCATGGTGCTGTGTATAAGAAAAGGGGATTCAGGGATTCTGCTGGCAAACATGTGTTTCATGGACATTTGATCAAACGACTTCTCGATGCTGTGCAGAAACCAGCAAAAGTTTCTGTGATGCATTGCAAAGGACATCAGCAAGGGGTGGATCGGGTGGCTCAGGGGAATAGAAGAGCTGACTTGGAAGCTAAGAAGGTGGCAATGAAAACAGGGCCCATTCCTGATCTGTCAATATATGTGGCAATAGACATAGGGGACTTGCCTCCTATCATTAAACCAACATACTCTCAGCAGGAGTGTGTGAAAGCAGTGAATGATCTCAAAGCTACTATTAGGGATGGGTGGTATCTTTTGCCTGATGGACGTATTTTTGTCCCTCAATCTTCAGCATGGGCTTTACTTCAGGCAGCACATGAAACAACACACATGGGGAAAACTGGATTGGATGCTGCTATTGGGAGGGATTATTATGTACATGGGTCGGCTGGGATAGCTGCTCGAGTGGTTTCACAATGTGGCATCTGTGCTAAGGTCAATCCTCGACAAGGGCCCCTTCTACCACCTGGGACCATACCTGTTTCTTACTTTCCTATGGACTCTGTCATGGTTGACTTTACAGACATGCCAAAATGTGGACTATACAAAGCTTTATTGGTATTTGTGGATAAATACACTGGCTGGCCAGAGGCTTTCCCTACAAAGACTAAACAAGCCAGGGAAGTGGCAAGACTATTGTTAAAAGAACTAATACCTCGTTTTGGTTGCCCGTCTTTTATTTTCTCTGATAATGGTCCTGAGTTTGTTCATCAAGTTAATCAAGCAGTGGCTACTGCTGTGGGATCCAAATGGCGGTTTCATTGTGCTTTTCATCCTCAGTCCGGTTCGAATTCTGAACGAATGAATCGCACACTGAAAGAGAAAATTACTAAGATCTGTGCTGAAAGTCACCTGAAATGGCCTGATGCATTGCCCTTAGCTCTCTACGCTGTGAGATGTGCTCCACATAGACAATACAACCTATCCCCATATGAGCTGATGTTTGGGCGTCCTCCTACGCTGCTGAGAAGAAGTTTGGCTGGATGGCCTGATTTGGCCCATCAGGGGGGAGTATGGACTCTGAAAATGGTGCAGGAATTGAATAAGCAAGTGGAAAAACTTAGGAATTATGTGGTTGAACAAACACCTCCTAAACTAATAACAAGATGTCATCCCTTTAAACCAGGGGATAGGGTGTGGGTGAAACATTGGAAACATGAACAACTGGAGGGGAGATGGAAAGGACCTTATGAAGTAATAATGGCCTCTCCTTTAGCAATAAAGATTGCAGAATCTAAATCTTCGATTCACTGGACCAGAGTTAAAGCAGCTGCAGAACCTCTGTGGACAGTGAACAGGAACCCCAAGGTTCCCACCAAACTCACTCTTAAACGTGTTTAGTATGTTTAATGAATATTTTAGTGTTTGTAAACCAGATATTGTATTAGCACAAGTGTATCCTGCACATATATCTACGGCTGTCTGGCTGAAATTCAACCCCCTGCTAAGCCACACCCGGAAGCTGGCTTTCTACGCACGGGAGAAGAAAGGATGAAAGGCTTCCTTCTGCTTGTATATAGTACTATTGTTGCATGTAATAATGTTTGTCTTTCTAATTTAGGCCAATGGAGCAAGCCAGAAGAAGCTCCACGCATTATTCAATCTTATGCTATAGGCACTGGCACTTGTGAAGGTCACTCCCTATTGGATTTTCCCCAGAATGTTGGAATGGTATCTTGCCTCATCATTGTCAATTTCCCCAAGCATTTGACAGAATAGTTAAAGAAGCCTGTATGACAAGACAACCTGTCAATCCCGAAGCCTGTCAGTATGTTGGGTATATTCTTAGGAAAGGCATATGTGTAAAGGCCCCATATAAGAAGCCTCCTCCTCCTGTTACTCTGGAGTGTGGGCCTCCTTTATTCTGGGGATGGGAGCGGGTCACCCTAGTCTCGCAGTTAAAGACGGGATGGGAGGGGACTTGCATTGTACATGTTATCCCGGTGGAATTTGGAGTAACTATCCAAAGACCCCCGAGGAAGCGCCCAGAGAGAAAACGAAGTAGAAGGTCCCATCAGAATAAGGATATGTCCCATCCATTGGAGTCAAGGATGCAATATAATTTGTGGGTCCAATTGGCTAAACTAGCCAACACAACTGATTTTTGCCTTTCTGAAGCATATGACATGGAAAATTTGCTGTCCACGTGTTTAATACCCGTATGTGTTCCTGTCACAGCAGCCAAGGAGTTTAGTCAATATGGGTTTAAAGAACACATAGGCTATGAAACAATGTACAGCTGGGGACACATTTCCAAGTTTTTACCAACTGATGCTTTAGTTTTACATACTCCTAACGTAGCCATTCCAGAAGACTTACAATGTGCACATATCACGGTGTGAGCAGAATACACCTTCACCTCATTGCCTGAAAGTGAGCCAAGAAAGGCTAAATTGCACATCTTTCCAAACAATGTCTTTTGGGTATGCAAACATATGGTTACCTAAAGGGTGGTTCTTCACTTGTGGGAAAGACACTTTCAATTATATTCCTGCCAACATACATACCTCAGACCCCAGTGTTACAGAATGAAACTTATCTGCATGGATGAGATAAGTCTCATGAGGGGGGAATAAAGTGGTACCTGGAAAAATATTAATGGTCTGACAACGAATGTGGGTAAAAAGCAGATGGCCCACCAAAGAATGTGTATGAAAGGGAGGTTTGTTTTGCTTACAAGACAGCTCTTAAATTTAGGATGGCCAGACATCCTTTTCCCAGCTCTGTACATGATATATTACTAACTGCCTATCACATGGTGTAACTAAACTGCTTAACACTTGATATATTGCTGATTGCTAAAAGCATTCCAATGTAAATGAGGAGCTATCGATTATAGATCTGTCTAGTAGTTTTCCTATGTTAGAATAAGGACCTATAGAATGTAACCATGTGAGGAATGTGACCTGCTCAGGAAATAACTCTGCCTGAAGGATTATAAAAATGGTCATCAATGCCCAGGCTTTTGTTCAGAATCTTTAGCCACGATGGCTCTCTGAACCTGCGCAATAAACTTCCCTTTCCTTGAAAGAGCTGACTCAAGTCTTTCATTTCTACAACAATGGTACTTTATAATAATTGTTTTAAAATGGATTTGTTTATAATATTATGATATTAAGATTTAAAGGGAGTTAAGGGTTAAGTATGAATTTGGTTACTGTATAATTTATTAAATTTAATTAGATTTTGTTTAATATGTTTGTAATAACCCTGCACTCAGCTCTGGAAAGTGGGTGGGTTTGGGGGTTAAAAAAAATTTTTTTTTGTTAATTCTTAATAAAACTTTTTCAATAAAAAAAACATAAAAAGTAGTTGTGTTAACATTTTTAAGAAATCACAAAAATAAAAACTAATGAGGGAATGTGCCAAATTAAAAAAAATAGAACTAGGTGAATTTGAAAAAATTAACATATTTGTATGGTATTTGGATCAGACTAGTAATTTTATAAGTGTTTTATAAAGGAGTGATAATTTATATTAAATATTCAGTTAAATAAGCGATCATCCAGACTTAGTCACAACAACAATGAAAGACAGTGTCTTCTAGAATATAGAATAGAAATAAGGTTTATTTTTTCCATTTATAAAAAGCAAATTTTAGATTTGTACTCAGCAGCAACATTTAGCTAAATAGTCATGGTACATAAAAGATACATACATCTTAAGCGAATATTAGTACTTTGCTACTTTTATTTGGTTAAGAAAATGTTGTAAAGAATACACAAGTGGTCTTCCATTGGTTTTCAGTCTTCAGCAATAGTTGTTTATGCTTTCTTGAAGAATCTTTTGGCTACTACTCCTTCGTAGGTGTAAGTCTGAAAATATTTTTTAAAAATAATAATAAATAAAACAGGTCAGAATACCAGCAATATTTCTCTGGATTTACAGTGCTTATTTTCCCAGGAATAGTTTCAATCTATATTCCAGAAACCAGCCTTTTTTAAGGTGACATAAATATATTAAAATCAATAATCCTGGAATAATTAATTAAATTGTGTCAGAAGTTAAGAAATTCATTCCTACGCTGAGCTACAATAAAACCCAAGAAACATTTATGGCTGGATCCAGAAATTGTTTATTGCAGTAGGACACATATTAGCAAGCAGGCAGAGATAAGACTATTGGAAAAAGCGAACATAGGCAAAATCAAATTGTGAAATGAAATCCTGCAAGGAGCACTACATGGGGCCAGGGTTCATGGCAAGGCCCCACTTATGATTAATATATTATCAAACATTTTAAAAATGGTTTTTCATGTTTTGAATTTTAGAAGAGATTGTTTTCTTAGGTTGTAATCTGATTTTCTTTTTTTTTTTTTTTGCTTCAGCTTCATAACTGGCTTCTCAACAATTTCTTATAACTGCAAGTTAATACTTAATAACGTTTTCTTTGTTATATCTTTTCAGTTCCTTATTAAGAAAATATGATTTTCTATTGTTGATTGCTATATATAAAAATATTTATGATATACTTACCTGAATCATTTCATCTCCTACAATTTCCCGCAGTGCTTCAAGTTTCTTTCCGTTATCTTTCCGGTTGAATGCACCTATCACTTGGGTTCCTTGCAAGTCCCAGGACCCCTACAGTACACAGCATGCATACAAGGAAGGAGGGGAAAGAGAGAGGAAGGAAGATTTTTGATGTGGTTGAACATATTCGTAGCTGGTTATAACTAAAGTGGGTGTGGGGATCAGAAACTAAGTCCTGTGAGAAAAGGTTGGAGAAACTGGGAATATTTGTCCTTGAGAACAGTAACTGAGGTGGGTTATAGTAGCCCACATCAACAGCAAAACTCTATGATTCTAAGAAAAAAAAGTTTTCTTACATTGAGTTCAGTTCCATCAGCTAAACTGTAGTCAAAATTCACTCCCAAAGTGAACACTATCTCTATGCTGCGGAAATTGCTGTTTTCTTGAACGATAAATTTATTTCCCTCTTGTTTGATTGTGAGTTTTAGGTTGTCATGGGCTCCAAGCTTCCTCTTCACTAAATTAATACCTATGAAAGTTAAGATGAATGTAAGTCAGTTGCAAAGCAGACAGATTTTTATTTTTAAATATTTGTTTTTAGATAAATTGTCTAAATACAGTGGCTAGAGTTGGACAATTTGAGTCTGTCCTCTGTAATTCTTGTTTGTCTAGGTTTTGGTTTTAAGGGCAAATACAACCAGTTTACCAGGATCTGCTTATGGTTTCTTAGGGTTGTTTAGTCAATGTGGAATTATACATGATGTACATCTCAGACTACTAATGTTCTCTTTTCCATATCTCCCAGTGGCTGAGTTCACAAAGCAGACTAACCCCAAGTCAAATAATATATGTTCAATATATGTGTAAGCACAGAAGTTCAACCCCCACTAAACAATTGTCAGATCCTTTTTATCTAAAGAGAAGCCAGATTGTTGTCAAAGGTCAAATTGCTCAGATCAGCTAAATATACATGATCTCATATTTCTGAACTGGAAAATAATGTCATTACAAAAAAGGAGAAGAGGAAGCTTTGGATGCAGAATTAATTAAAATTGCATAGAGTTATACAGTATTTAGTCTACTTTTGTAATAAAAAGCCGAAGGCAAGTACCAAGGGTAAACTTGAAATTAGTGCAACTGCAGGGAACACAAATACTATTTAGTAACAATAGAAAACCAATCATTCTAGAGTCTTCTAGAATGGGAAATAGCATATACAAAAATAAATAATAATTAATTCCATTAAAATATGGACCTGAAGGAGAATCTGTGAAATTATATTTGAGACAACAGTAAAGAGAATGTTACAAATAGAGGATGGAATAAAAAATCTTGCTGGAAGATTTTGGACTCTGATCTCCATCTGCTGCATATCGTCTTCCCCAGGTACCAGAGCAGAAGCTACCCAGGCTGTAGATGGTATGTGAGCAGGAATTGATTATTGAAACTCAGTAAATAAACTAATGCTTTCATTGTTTGATTTTATGGTCTACTATTGCCAGGATCCTAAACTTTTTGACAATGGTCCCTGGGGGTGCAGTTGATCTTTAAGAGATCACAAGATTTTTTTAAGATTAGATTTTGTAGAAACCAAAGCCACTGAGGTTAGATTCTGAGAGTCTCAGGAAGCCAGATTCTAAGAGTTTGAGGAAGCTAGTTTTTGAGAAAGTAGAAGTCAGCAATGACTTCTGACCTATAACAGCAGAATGACTATAAATTAAATATAGAGAAAAAGAAAGAAAGCAAATTCTTATAGAGTCAACTTGTACAAGAAAGTAGGGATTGGAATTCGATATATTTGGAAGCAGGAAAATCAAATCTCCAAGATTTGAAGAGTCAACATAGAAAAAGACAAGGGGGATGCCTTGTGGACTTTGGTTTAAGCCCTTCCGTAGTCATGAAGAAAAAAACATTTGTTAACATTTCTGTTCATAACAGAAAGAAATATACAAACCTGCAAGTATGTAGGTTTACCAGTAAGTTTTGAGGGAAAGAGAATTAAAAAAAAAACTAGAATGAAAGTCCAGTGATTAATAGTGGACAATAAAGAATTCCAGGAAGAATTCCAGCAAATGTCTTGAATTGCATCAGTAATTTGTTTTTCTTAAGAATCAAGGAAATGCAGATCTTACCCATTACTTCCATGAACTTTTCATAGTTTTCACTCTTCTCTACTTTCCAGGTACCATCAAATGCCATGGTTGCTAGCTATTACAAAAAAACGTAGAACTAAAAAAGGTTTCCTATCCAGTCTAGAGTAAAACTTTCTGAAGGAGTGATTTATATCTTTACTTATCTTGAAAGCAATTCATACACTGATGTGGCTGACTAAAGTACAATTAGTCAGGTGACCCTATACGATTAAATCACTACAATGTGTTCAATTAAATATAATTAGAATAAATCTATTATATTTAATTCTATCTCTTAAAAATATTGCCTCTATTCTTTGGTAGAGTTGTGATTACTAAGTTCTCTTTTTCCCTCTAAATAGGATGGACAACAGAAAAAAAAGCTTAGATGATTACTGGTAACGAGAAAAAATGAAAATAAAAGCGGTGCTCTGTTTAAATGAAGCAACACTTATTTTAAGCAGCAACCCTACTGTACTGTTACATTTTGTCATGCTTCTTATTCCTGATAACTGCTCAAGCAAGGACAACCCATCATTTCCTTTTAAACATATGTTCTCTTTGGAAGCTGCTCCATTGAGTAAGCTAAAGATATTTTAAAAATGGGAGACAATGTACTCTGGAAACAATTGATTATAATTTCCTTTAACTCTAACCATGTGAGACTTACTTTTCTGTTCTGAAATGTAGGAGATAGGTCTACGGCAGAAAGTGATTTTAATGTAGAAAGCCAATCAAACGGAGCTGAGAAATAATGTATTCTTTGCACGAACGTATGTTTTCATAAGCCCCCCCCCAGCTCCTACCTTAAGACTGAATCCATAATAACAACATAATAATCCTATTTCATAGATCTATTTAATATTTTAATCTAAACAGTAGTGGAATAGCTGAGCATCTTGTTTGAAGAATCATATTTCAAGAATTTTTGGAGTTAGAACCTAAGAAATGCAAACAACAATATCTATGTAGATAGTTGGAGAAGAGTGGGAATAGAGGCTCTAATTCCTCTTAATTCCCTGTTATTGCTGCAAATTTAACATTACTCCACAAATCTGAGATGAAGGCTGGTGATTATATTTAGGCTACATAAATGTATGGCCCAGGGCTGTTCAGATGTCTGTTCAAATTGTCTGACTGGACTTAGGTACCTTTCAGCTACAATTCACAACTTATCACAGATAAGATAAGGTCTTCACTATGTAGCAATCAATTATGTTAGATAAGCAGTTTGGGATCATGATATAAATGAAGGACTTTTTTTCTACAAAGTCTCTTGATACAACTATTGTCATGGCCAGAATTGTCAATGCAACCCCTGGAGAGCATATCAATAATTTGTAATGATTTTGCAATTGTGTATTATATCAACAGGTAATTTTATGACTGGTTCAAACAAACCAACAGTCCTCCATTTACTTGAAAGTGTTCTAGAGTACTAAGAAAGTCTCCTGGAGAATAAAATGCAGACAATAGAATGAAAGGGAAGCAATAATTTAGGGGTCTCCAGCCTCAGCATTTTTAAGATTTGTGGACTTCAACACTCAGAATTCCTCAGCCAGCATGTTTTAACACAAAATCTTTAAATTTTTAAAATGCTTTAGAATGTAGGTAAAATAGATAGCATATCAAACCATGTCCTGTAGTAAATATCTGCAAATATCCCAAGCCTGCAAAGATGAAGTAAGGAAAGCCAAGGCTCAAAATGAACTAAGGCTTGCGACCAAAGTCAAAAATAACAAAAAAAAGCTTCTTTCAACAAGTAAAAAACAAGAAAAAAGTGAAGGAAATGATTGGTCCATTAGTGGGGGAAAGTGGCAAGAAGGTGACAAGCAACAGGGAGAAAGCAGAACTGTTTAACTCGTTTTTTGCATCTGTCTTTATACAAAGGGAAAAAACAGACCAACCTACCAAAAATAGTGCCATAAAAAACAGAATAGAAACACAAGTTAAGATAGGCAAGAAAACGGTAAGTGAGCACCTGTCCACCCTAGACAAGTTCAAATCGCCAGGAAGAGATGGATTACACCCCAGGGCTCTCAAGGAACTGGCAGATGTGATCTCAGAACCATTGAACTATATTTTTCAAAGATCCTGGGGAACTACTGGAGGACTGGAAAAGAGCTGATGTAGTTCCCATCTTCAAAAAAGGAAAAAAAAATGGACCCAGGAAATTACAGACCAATCAGCCTGACCTCAATACCTGGGGAGATTCTGGAAAAGATAATCAAACAACGAATCAACGAACACCTACAGGCAAACAAAGTCATTACTAAAAGCCAACATGGATTTGTCAAAAACAGATCATGCCAGACAAATCTTATTGCATTCTTTAACCAAGTGACAAAATTAGTGGATCAGAGAAATGCTGTGGATATAATTTACTTGGACTTCAGTAAGTCATTTGATAAAGTAGATCACAACCTACTACTTGATAACATAAAAAAATGTGGGTTAGACAGCATCACCACCAGATGGATCCGTAGCTGGCTGACCGGCCGTACTCAGCGTGTGGTCCTCAATGGAACCGCATCTACATGGTGGGAAGTGTGTAGTGGGGTGCCCCAGGGCTCTGTTCTGGGCCCAGTGCTCTTCAACATCTTCAACAATTTGGACGAGGGAATAGATGGGGAAATCATCAAATTTGCAGATGACACAAGCTGGCAGGAATAACCAACACTCCAGAAGACAGGCTTAGGATACAGGAGGATCTGGACAGACTTGAACACTGGGCGCTATCTAACAAAATGAAATTCAATAGTGAAAAAAGTAAGGTTCTACATTTAGGCAAGAGAAACCAAATGTACAGGTATAGTATAGGGGTACCTTGCTCAATAGTAGTAACTGTGAGAGGGACCTCGGAGTCTTAGTGGACAATCATTTAAATATGAGCCAGCAGTGTGCTGCAGCTGCCAAAAAGGCCAACACAGTGCTAGGCTGCATTAACAGAGGGATAGAATCAAGATCACGTGAAGTATTAATACCACTCTTCAATGCCTTGGTAAGGCCACACTTGGAATACTGCATCCAGCTTTGGTCACCACGATGTAAAAAAGATGTTGAGACTCTAGAAAGAGTACAGAGAAGAGCAACAAAGATGATTAGGGGACTGGAGGCTAAAACATATAAGGAACAGTTGCTGGAATTGGGTATGTCTAGTTTAACGAAGAGAAGGACGAGGGGGGACATGATAGCAGTGTTCCAATATCTCAGGGCTGCCACAAAGAAGAGGGAGTCAAGCTATTCTCCAAAGCGCCTGAAGGCAGGACAAGAAGCAACGGATGGAAACTAATCAAGGAGAGAAGCAATCTAGAACTAAGGAGAAACTTCCTGACAGTTAGAACAATTAACCAGTGGAACAACCTGCCTCCAGAAGTGGTGAATGCTCCAACACTGGAAGTTTTTAAGAAGAGAATGGACAGCCATTTGTCTGAAATGGTATAGGGTTTCCTGCCTGAGCAGGGGGTTGGACTAGATGACCTCCAAGGTCCCTTCCATCATCATCATCATCATCATTATTATTAAATGTAGACCTCATTTAGTGACCACAATTGGGGCTGGCATTTTTGTTAAACAATGACTGTGCTTATAATCTTACTTCCTCTTTCCTTCCTCAAAATATTTGGTTTGAATAGCTCTGCATCGTATCATAACAAAACTTTTCAGAGTTGGTTTCTGGTAAATCTCTAATATATAGATTAAATCGGAGTGGGGATAGAACTGATCCTTGTGGCAAGCCTTTCTTAATGGAAAAGAATTTATTAGTGATGCTTCCTACAGTGATCTTAAAATATTGGTTGTTTTTTTTAACATGTTCTCCAGAAGTCTTGTTATTTTAAGACATGGAATAATTTTCTTCAGGTTGATCATCAAACCATCAAACCACAATGTATCATACACTGCAGTCAGATCAATAAAAACCACAGAAGCTTTTAGTCCTTTTTGGAAAGTGCTTCGATAAATGAAGTAAGAGCCAGAAATTGTTTGCAGCAGCTTCTCTTGGTGTGGAACCCAGCCTGGAAAGAAGGGACAACTCTATCAACAAGTTGGTATATTCTGTTATAAAGTAATTGTTCCAGAGGTTTATAGCAAATGCTATAATAAAGCTATGGATAGTAGCTTGCTGGATCATCATGTGGTTTTCCGGGTTCTAGGATGGCAAGGTTTTGGGATATCTTGAATTGACTGGGGATTTTTCCAGTGTTCAAAGCATCTAGATAAAATTATTGTAGCCATCATCTAGCATGTGGTCCTAAATGTTTAATAAACTCTGGGAACATCTCATCAGGCCCAGTAGCCTTCCATACTTTGAGGGTTTTTATTCTCATTTTCTGATAATGTCAAAGAAAGAAGTGAGTTTTCTATAATTTGTTCATTTAATTTACTTGTTTGTTGTTTTATCTCTTTTTCAAAGTTTGGATCTAAAGAAATATTTTCTGCACGATTCTTTATGTATAAAGCTATCTGAGATGATGATATTTGGGTTTTCTGAATAAGAATTGCTCCCAGTTTTCATAATAGCTGCTCCCAGTTTTCATAATAAGGACTAGACTTTCCAGCATCTATGGGTGAAGTTTTTCAGTTATTTCTATCCATATTTCTTTATGCTTGTTGTTAATGGAACATTGTATTTCTTCGGTATTCATTATATACATTTTCTGTGGTGTGGTTCCAAAAAGGAGTGTATTATTTTCTGTACCCATGAGATATATTATGGTATCTGGTTGATCTTATGAGAAGTAATTGTAGTCCCAGAATTAAATATGACTGTTCTGTGTTGAGTATTCAAGAATCTCAGTTGGACTTTCCTTGTATAGTGGGGAACGGGGGATTTTCAAGTTGTCTATGTTTCAAATTTAGAATGAGCATGGCTGCAGCCATTTTTTCCTTCTCATTTCTAGTTGACACATAGCGCAGAGGAAGGGGGGTTGCCAGGTGTTGCGCTAGATAAAACATACTCTGTCTCTCGGACTTTCTCTTATGGGAACCACAGTCATCAGCTGCTCCCAAAACAGCGGGCTGGGCGTTTCATGAAAACAAGCTGTATGGGAAAACGTAGTTGCTTGCATAGCCTTAGGGGTGAGATTTTTTAACTTTGTATTGGGGAATTGTTATGCATCTCTTCAGACTTGATTTCACTTTTGAAGTGCCAATACTTTGTATCAGTAAAAATGTTCTTTGAGGAATTTGCAAGCCTCGGAGTTCCGCTTTATTTGTCTCTGTCTATCGGAACCATAACACTATGGTTACTAGCAGTGGTGGTATTCAGATATGTGAACAACTGGTTCTCTGTGTGGATGCCGCTTCCAGAAGTCCATTCTGGGCCAGGGCAACAAAAAATGAGCTACAAGTTCTACCGAACTGGTGGGAACTAGTGAATTCTATCACTGGTTACTAGGCAAAGATCTGTGTTTGTTTCACTTTGCCACCTTGCAGAACAGAAGATTTTCAAATCTTTGGCATCAGAAGCTAGGTGAAACTCATTTTGCTCCGTCCAGTTTGCTAATATTTTCCCATTCTCATTATTGTTGTATGATGTCAGTATGATGACTATTAAAATCACCTATATATACTCCTTGATGGCCCAGGGTTAATAGGGCCTATGACACGCTATAAGAGCCGGAAGCAGATACTTGATAACGGGATGCTTGATAACGGTATATAAGTCTACTTCCTATACTTGCTTTTTAACCCTGACGATGTCAAATGTATTTTGACGAAAGCTTGGTTGATTAATTAAATTTTATTCTCTTAAAGCATTCTCTTGGTGATCACTGTTTTAATAATATGGATATTCCCAAGAGTCATATTTTTACTATATATATATATATATATATATATATATATATATATATATATATATATATATATATATATAATCTTTGGTTAATATATATAATCTTTGGTTATTCGGGTTTTCTTCTGCGTCAAATTGGAAATGTCTTGGCGATGTTTCGACAAAGTCTCATTCGTCATCTTCAGGCTGGTGTTTTCGGCTTCGTGCTTCTAGGAGCAATGTGTGATCGTAGCTGTTTCTTCCTTTTAACTGCCAGTGGGGGGTATGAACTGATTGGATGAGAGCTTGGCTGTGTTCTGATTGGATGGAGGTGTGTTCTGATTGGTTAGGAGCTTGGCTGTGCTCTGATTGGATGGGGGGTTGGCTGTGCTCTGATTGGTAGGGGGAGTTGCTCACCATCTCACATCCCTGCAACTCAGATTAACCTGAGCACAACAAAGCCCCCACCCAAACAGAACACTCCCCCTACCAATCAGAGCACAGCCAACCTCTGTGCGGAGCTCATGAATCAGCATTTCCAGAGATTAGACCAGCATATCCATTGGGTTACCAAGAATGTGAGCCAATGTGCTACTAATAAGTTCCGGAGTAGAACTGAGGGACTACGAAGATCTCATAAGGATAATCCACCTGATAGACTGGTCTATAATCTGTCTACCAAAGTACTGACTCAAGCCCAGCTCACCTTGCTGCAACGGGATGCAGGGTGCCACTTGATGGACGCTCACGCACTGGATTTTATAGCAGCGTTAGAGCCCACCTTACACCACATCGAAGTGGGAGAGGATGTCAAAGACTCCATTAGACATCAGGTGACGGGGCTCATCATAAATCATAGGCACCACCAGACTCTATCAAAAAAAGAGTTGGAGGCCATGGCCCAACTCAAAGAGGACGATGCCACCCTCATATTACCAGC